CGCTGAGAAGCTGGTATTTATTTCGTTCTCCTTTCTTATATCTGTTTTGCTTGATTCAGCTATATAATCTGGGACGGATATTTAGGTCAGAGTTTTTGAAGTGACCATTCTTTTGTTCATTTCAATTATTGCTACTGACCAAATTTGTAGACTGCCCTGTGCTCTTCCACTAAATATCAACTCAGCTTCATCAAGTTCCATATGTCCATCTTTGATCTCTTCATCATCTCGAGTTTATTATTTTAAAATCTGGAACTCAATCTGCTTTGTGAACACATTTCTTTGGTCAGGCAAGTGTGGATTCTTCTACAATTCTACAATCGCTGGTGAAAAATCTGAGAAAGGAACTCTGCACACGTACTATTTGCTTAATAATAACAACCTGTTCTGGGATTGAGCTTTAGCACAAAAACACTTCCCGGTGAGCTTCAGTCTTATTTTCTTTCCCTTTCAAGCTATTAAGTTCTCAGTTATTTCAACTAAAGGCTTGCTGTGTACTGGGCGCCTGTGGAGAAGGCCTGACATCTCATTCATGAATATTGGAAACAGCTTTCATTCATGTCCTTGCAGCCTCACATGCTGAGATCCATAACTTCGATTTAGCTATGAAATGTGCTCCTCCACATGTGGATAAGAATAGCTCCACGTCAGTCCATCTCAGTGGAAGCTGCCCAGATTTGTGTCTCACTGCGGGAGGAGGCACGGAAACTGCATGGTTGCAGTTCCTTCAGCAGACCTTAGCACTCACACATTTCTGTGGAAAGACAACCACATGCTTAGCCAGCTGGGGGAGCACCCAGTTGTACAAGCCAGTCAGCTGTCCCTGACTGGGTTTTTGTCATTATTTGTGAGAACTGTATTTGTGAGAACTGAAGAGAAAGCCTCTGCTTCCAAGATCTTACCTCTGCCTTCTCTTCTAGGGGAAAAGGAGGCAGTGATATTTATCAGCAATCATTTTGGGCAGGATACATTCATTTCTAAATAATAATAATAATAATAATAATAATAATAATAATAATAATAATAATAATAATAATAATAATAATAATAATAATTAATAATAATAATAATAATAATAGTAATAATAATAATATAGAAAGACTGTGGCAAAAGCAAGCAAGGGTAGTACCAATAGTAATAGGCGCCTTGGGTGCAATCCCAAAACAACTGGAGCACCACTTGGACACCATTGGCATTGACAAATTCGCCATTAGTCAATTGCAAAAAGCGGCCTTACTAGGAACTGCTTCCATCCTGTGACCATATCTGTAATACCATCAAACATCCACATCTGCCTATCCCAGGTCCTGGGTAAGGACTTGATAGGTAGACAAAATGCCAAATCCAGTCTGAACATCTGGCTGATTGTGCAATGATCCATAATAATAATAATAATTCACTTAAATTATATAAATCAGAATGGAAGCCCACTCCTGCCTTCTTGAAAAGAATTCAATTCCATTTAGTGGGGTTATTTTTGAGCTGACCTACAGGGGGTTGGTTTTCCTACTGCAGGATTCATTTCTTATGAGTGATGTCTGCACTGGAGGATGGAATTATACACGGTTACAGGAAAGTGAGGAGAAAGCAACAAACTACAGCCCTTAACCCACAGATAGTCAAAGCTTCTGCTTTCCTTGAAACATCCTACAAACAGAACATTTTAAATATTAATGAAAACGTAAGGGGGCGGGAGGGGGGGAAAGTTGTCCAATTGTGGAATCACTCCATTAAAAAACAGCAAGGTCGAAGTCTTCACAACTGTATTGAAAACGGATGTGTCGGGAAGGTTTAAAAGGCCTGACAGTTCCTGAAATCCCTCGGGCTTTCCCTCCCCCTAACAAACTTATGCACAGACAGAAGAAAACTCGCAGCCTCAAACATAAACGCGCGTGCGGTAGTTACAAATCGCACACGCGCGCCCCCGCGCGCGCACGCATCCCTAGCCATCTCTACCGATATCCTTTTCCCCCGCATTCAAAATATTTCCTCTCTTGCCCCTCCCTCCCCCCCCCCCTCGGTACAATTCCGTTTTCTGCCCAGCACCATCTAATCGCCGAGCTCGGTCGCCTTAATGGAGCAACGCCGAGAGCTCTTTGCGAGCCATTAGCCAAATACTCTACCGCGGCGGTGCAACCCCTGCTTCGGCTTTACGAGAAGAAGGGTGGGGGGGGGGGAACAACGGTCGGTGCCCGCCCCTCCCCTTTTGACGCCTTCATTCATTCTGCCGCACGAATTCCAGCACACGCCGCCTCGAGGCAGAAGAGAAGGCGCTGCCGGTTTCGCCGCCGCTGCTTTGTACCTCTTCCCCCTTCCCTCGGCTCGTGCGCCCTGCCCTTCCCTCCCCTCGCCGCCCTCATTTGTTCAGTGCTCAGCCCTCGCCGGGTTACGCAGCCGCCGTCGCCGGCGGGAGCAGTTAGTTAGTAAGCAGGGCTTGGCGCCCGTGCCCCGGAAAATCCGCGGCAACTCCGGTTGGGTGTTTGGGGAGCGGAGGGACGGGCAGAAGTCCGCGAGAAACACCTGGACGCGGGAAGGAAAGGGTGCACGTGTGTGTGTGTGTTTGCACGCGCGCGCGCGCGCGCGACCGATGTTGACACGCCGAAGTAAAACCGAGAAAGGAGGAGACGAGCTCGCCGAGGGCAGGGAAGAGGCCGATCGCTAGCGAAATAGCAGGAAATGGAGCGAAAAAGCCGAGCCTTGGCCAGCAAGGTGCAGAGCTCAACGCGGAGTTTCTTCTCCATTCGGCGGAGCGCCCTGGACGGCTTCGGATGTAGGGGTTAATGCACCTTCTCCGGGACGTGGGAATTAGCGGCTTAAGACTTCTCGCCGCCTTTATGATAAGGGAGATTGCGGCCCGAGGCATAAGTAGTAGCGCCCAAAAAAGTTCCTTGGGGGGTGGGGAAGGTGAGGCTACTGGATCATGGCAAACCCCGCCGGCTTAGACTTTGCTGCAGTGGAAGGCTTCCTGGACAGACACCCGGAGCTGGTGGAGAAGTGGCTCAAGAGGAGAACCGCCCTCCTTAGCGAAGGAGCGCCTGACTGTAGCGACGGCGGGGCGGAAAGGCAGCTAAGCAGACAGCACAACGGCCTCTCGCCTCGGAGCGGCCCCTCGTCCGCAGCCCCCCCCGGCCCGGAGCCGACGGCCGGCGGGCTGCCGCACCGAGCGTCCCAGAAAGAGCTGCGGAAAAGTTTCGCGCGCTCCAAGGCGATCCACGTGAACCTGACTTACGACGAGCACCTCCACGCCAGGACTCAGGAGCCGCTGAGCAGCGCCAGGAGAAGGGCGCTGCTGAGGAAGGCCAGCTCCCTGCCGCCCACCACGGCGCACCTGCTCAGCGCGCTGCTCGAGTCCCGGGTCAACCTGCCCCAGTGTCCGCCCACCGCCCTGGACTACAAGCGCTACCTGAAGCAGCACAACGAGCGGCAGTTCTTTCTGGAGCTCGTCAAGGACATTTCCAACGACTTGGACCTCGGCGCGCTCAGCTACAAGATCCTCATCTTCGTCTGCCTTATGGTGGACGCCGAGAGGGGCTCCCTTTTCCTGGTGGAAGGCGGCGGCGGCGGCGGGGGGAAGAAGACCTTGGTCTCCAGGGTCTTCGACGTGCACGGGGGCGCCCCGGTGCTGCCTTGCTACAGCACGGAGAACTCCAACGAGATGCAGCAGCTCTGGGGCAAAGGCGTCGTCGGTGATGTGGCCGAGCGCGGCGAGACCGTCAACGTGCCCGACGCTTACCAGGTACGGCTGCCGTTCGGCAGACCTTTCGCACGCGGTCTTAACGATAGCAGAATAACTTTATAAAACTTAAGGTCTCCAGTTATTTAGACGGTTAAAAAAAAAAAAAGCAAGCAAACAAACCAACAACACCGAAACAAAATCCTGCTGAAATTCGTTCTGTACCTATCCAGAAGGGCATCCGTGGGAAGAAATCTGTTTTAGGTGAAAGCGTAATGTCTTGCAGAAATTGAGGAGGTCTCCCCCTGGTGCCGGTTATCTGGGAACTGTTCTCCATATTTTATGGCGAGTTGCGGGGGGTGGGGGAAGAGAAATTTCATATTTATGTTTAAATATGCGTTCATGTATAAAATACAACCTGCTGTTAGAGAAGGGTGTTTGCAATCAGAGTACCAAAAAGAGGGACCCTGGCCCCTTTGTGTGTGTATTTGTATGTCTGTATGAAATTACAAGGGGTGTGTTGTGTTTGTCCCCAGACTAGCCAAAAGAAGATCCTTGTCCCTCTCTCTCTCTCTCTCTCTCTCTCTCTCTCTCTGTGTGTGTGTGTGCGCGTGAGAGAGAGAGAGAGAGAGAATATCCAGGGGTTCTGTTGTGTTTGCCATCAGAGTAACCAAAAGAGAGTGAGTGGTTCCCTTTGTGCATGTATGTGTGTGATTAAAGGATTCAGATGAGTGAGATATAGATGGCAGCAGTTGTGTAATGATTTATGGCCAAAGAATCCTGTAGATTAAACTAAAGTCTCAGATAAGTCATGCTTATTTTTTCCTCAATGGCCAATCAGAGGTAATCCATTTTATTCTTAAAACAATTAGTATTGAGAAGTTTATTCTTGCTTTGTTTGCTAAACTTAATAGGTTTCTTGATTAATAATCATTACAGTAAAAATTGGATCTCTAGGTATAGTAATCTTGGACCCATGAAGGTGCCTATCAGTGTATCCAAAGCAAAACCACAATGATGCCAAAATGACAACATGCATGTAATAACCATTATGTAAAAATAAAAGGCTCACTTTGCCCTTCTGATTGCATTTATTTGTATTTAATTCTAGCTGTAGGGATGGGATAGTTTGGCCAGTACATGGCATGTAAAGAGCACATCATGGATTTATATAAAAGCATTTTGGTTTTTATTTTTAATATTGCTAGGTATCATTCCAGAAATAATTTGGAAAAGATGCATTGGAAAATAGGGGAGTGTAAACATAGAACTCTTGTCTATAGGCATCTAGAACAGTGGTTCTCAACCTGTGGGTCGGGACCCCATTTGGGGTCGAAAGACCATTTCATGGGGGTCGCCAAGCAAGGCTGTCCGCCATTTTTTTGTCCGCCATTTTTTTCCCCTTTTCCGGCGGGTGCCTTACCTCCCTTGGGCTGGGCCAGCTGGTGGTCGGCCTGCTCTGTCTCTGCCGCTTGCCAGCTATGCCTCGGCCGGCGCAGGGGGCGGAACCACGCATGCGCGGCGCTCCCGGGCAGAGAAAGTCCTCGACTTACGACCAGTTGGGTAGTCCTCGACTTACGACCGATTTAGTCCTCGATTTACGACCGGTTGGGGTCACGGCATTAAAAAGGTTGAGAACCACTGATCTAGAAGAAGCAAGGGACAAAACATCAATTGCAACTTAAGCTCTACTCTACTGTTCATGCCTTGATGTCACAAAGCAAAGGTAGTGTTCTCACATCAACATGATCAGCAGCATCAGGAGCAGATATCTATGTCTTTTGAGATTAACTTTTTAAAGCAGCCATCTCTATTCCCAGGATCACATGCTGTTCTCTGCAGCTAACATATCCCAGGAAAAGATTTGACTGCTTTAAAGAGGTGCAGATAAATTCACATACCCCTTTTGAAACTGAATCCAAAACCTTGCACAGAACTACTTTTTAATCCTTGGTTTAATGATCCTTAATATGATATTTGCTTTTTTAAAATGCTTTGTACATTATGTAGATGTTTTCATTGACCCTGTGAATTCTTATCAACCTCCTGGTTATTTGTACAGACAAATCCACTTGTAGAAAAAAACAGGTTTCCTTTATGTGGTTGACACAGGGACCGATTAATAAAGACATTATTAGGTGGACGTGCCTAGATTAGTATATAGGAAGTGCTAGTAAAATATGAGAAGCTGGCTCAGTTGATCCTCCTTAGCAGGAAGAAAGACAGTCTTGTAAAGGGATATTATTATACCATACCTCTAGAATTATAATTGGCAATAAATTAAATCTGATCAATGAAAACACTTTTTTATGTAGAACAGACAAGATAGTTGGCTAGAATAAGTGGCTTTCATGTAGATTACCCTTATAGTAAAGGGACTGGAAGGGCTATATCTTGATTTTTCTGTAAATCACCATCCAGAACACATTGTTTTACTTTTGGCTTCTTATTGTTTAGTAATCTGTATTAAGTCATTTTCACTCCCAAATATAGTTTGTTTTCCTAAATGCAGATAGTATGTACTATTATGTACTATTAAGTCATTTCCAACTCTTAGCAATCACGCAGCTACATTTTCTCCATGATGATCTATTCTTAGCCTGTTCTTTCAGGTCTTCCAATGGTGCACTTATCACCATTGTAACTGAATCCATCCACCTTGCTGCTGGTAACCTTCTTCTCTTTCCTTCTATCTCCCCCAGTATTCTTCACCAGAGAGCTAGATCTTGGCACAATGTGTCCAAAGTAGAATGATTTGAGCCTAGTCATTTAGTCCTCGAGTAAGAACTCTGGGTTCATTTGTTCAATGGTGTATTTATTTTCTTGGTTGTACTTGTAAATTTAGACTTATTAGTTAGAAGGCTGACTAGTCTGTGAAGTTACTTGTATAGAGCTAGCTATTCCTATTCTACTTATAATTTTAATAGATAAAATTGTGGGAAGCAATATGAAACTTAAACACATTTATTTACTGACTGATAGTCTCACTGTGAATGTAGGCGCTCCTGCTTTAAGAGACAGAAAGGAACAGATGGATTACAAAATACTTGCGATTAAGATCTGGGGCAAGTTACAATATTTATTAAATCTGTTCTGCCGTATGTTCATTTTTTATAAGGTCAATTGTTAGGACTTGGCTTTTCATCTAATAGAATAAGGTCATTGATTTAACCCAACTCTATAGCATACTCTCTGTGTTATTCTTGTTTTGGAACTATATCAAGACTCATTTGTCTCTAATTATTCACCTGCTTCTACACAAAGAGCTGTGGTCTTAGATCTTAGTCAGAGATTCACTGTGGAAGGAAACTGCTGTATATGATAATTTATCAAAACTGCTTTCTTCTCCTGAAAGCTGAGTGCTTGATCAATTTTATAGCTTTTTTCTCCTTGCTAAAAGTAAACCTGTGGATTTACTTCTGTCGCTATTGTTTGTAACAAGTAGCATTATGTTTATTAAAAAGTGTTTGGTTTGACTAAAAAGGACAAATGTTGCTAGGTCAAGCAATATGAGCTTTCCTATCATAAGGAGTATGGAATTACTCTACATCAGGGGAAGGAATTTTGCTCAAAAATTTTCTGTTCTACTAAAAATAGCTGGGTTCCAATAATAACATGATTACAATGGCAAAAGAAAGACCAAATTTGGATCTTCATTGTGGCCATTGTTTCCATCCAAACATCAGCGTACTCACTTCTTATATGTCACACTACATCTCTGTTGTGATTAGTGTATTACTTCCTTGCAGGTAACCAGATAGTGCCTGGATTGCAAAAATCTAACCCAGCTTAGTGTCCTTTCAGTGCATTGTTGTTGCCCAGTGCGTATGGAGGACTGAGTTATTAGCAGTGCTTTTTTTCTAAAAAAAAAAAAAAAAGGTGCCGGAACTCACACACGTCATACAACCCGCCTTGCCTACCCTACAAGGTTCCATCCAAAAAAGGTGCCGGAACTCTGTTCTGGGCGTTCTATGAGAAAAAAAGCCCTGGTTATTACTAAGTAAATTTCTACCATGGGGCACTTATAGATACTGACACAATTGAGTACAATAGCTAAAAGACAGAAAATAACTAAACTTAATAGGCAAATACCAAAATACTTTACTGAGATGACAAAGGTCTAATGCTAATGTATAGGATTGGTATACCTAGTCCAGTGATAATAGTGAAAAGGAACAGGTATGATCAGGAAATAGAAACCAAGTTTCAGTTTTTACAAGAGAAATTCAGCAATTTAGGAATATTTGTTTTGAAAAGAAAAAAGTGGAAAAAGAAATTACCATAGACATCTGTTCCTAAACACTGTTAAGTCAAACAGGTAAAACGTCTTATGAAATCGTCCCACAAGTTTCACCCTTATGCATTATAGGGTAACTATAAATCCTCAACATGCAGTTTCCATTGTGATACGTATTTTGTCACTTGCCCCTTATCTTTTGTAGTCACTTATGGACATGACATCATAGAAAATAAAGACTATTATCTATTGCTTCAGAATATAGGAAATAAAATAATAGATTTAAGTTACAGGGAAGTAGATTTTTTTAATGTTGGGGGAGATAATATCCAAATATTTGGAGCAGTTAATAAGGAAAGAGCAGGAAATAAAACAATTATCTTGGAGAGAGAGTAGGTTCCATTTTACTGAATGTAGTCAGATGGAACTAGTCAATTTTGTCACATGGATGCCTTCTTTTAAATTTCTGCACTTTGATAGACAGTTGGTTTTAATGGACCCTTTCAAACCGTTACATTCCACAAATTTAATTTTAACTCCCATTTTTCCTACTATTAGTTCTGTAGAGCTACCAGCAAAGAGTTCGTTTTTTGTACCTCTTTGCTGCCATTGCCACCCACAGATCTGCAGTCGAAAATGATAGGGTTTTTTTTCCCCAGAAAAGAAATTAAGTTAAATGACAGAATAGTTGTGTAGTGATGCTCGGAGATATTGTGAATTCTTTGTCTGAAGGCATCTTTAGCACCTACAAAAATAAGAATTAACCCTTTACCTTATAGGTAGTTTCTAGTCAGCTCACACCGACTCTCAATACACTAAGAGATAA